GTAGTCTGTGGGTGTCATGTGAGAGCGGGAGTAGATAAAGAGCGTGTTGAGCGGTTCACATCTTCTGTACGCTAGCTTCCACTCGAAACAGGAAAATCTATTAATTTTTGTGCATATTTTTTTTCTGCATACAATTTTAGAATCACAATGCCAACAAATCGCCTAAAGACAGCAAATTCCAAAGCAAAATCCGCATCTTCTTCTCCTAGTCACTCACCGGGCCCTCAGACTAGAACCTCGCACTCCAGCTCCACATAATAGTAAATCTTCTTCGACTTCTTCCAATATTTCTTTGCCGAATCCCTTCAACCTCTCTAACGAAACAATTGGTTGTACGGCGGGAGGATAAGCCTACCATCAGGATCTAAGCAGGATATCCCATGCTGACTCAGAAGCTTAAACATTTTCCGGTGAAGGTCAAGTCCCATGTCCAAATGAGAATCATCTGGTTCGAAATATCTGTTCTTTAAAATATTTTGATATAGCTGATATAGTTCATCTTCGATGCTCGTGGGTAAGCTGTCGGTACCAACACCCGGTAGAGTATACTTAATACTGGGAAGCATTCCTACTAGTACATTGAATGCTTCATGGACCAATTGTTCCTCTGGATAAGGGGCAGATAGTTTAAAACCTAGAGAATTCTCGAATTTCCAGATCTTCGTGTAGATGCTAGTGGATCCATAATGAGGTTAGGGAATATTATTCTATTCCGAAGGAGCCTTAATTACCAACCTGATAATGTTGATCATTGCTCTGACAGTGTTTGTACGTAGGGAGATATCCATATTACGACACGATAAATATCCCAAGCGCAGTCTGAAATCAGACGTTAGTTGGAGGAGTTCGACGTTAGAGAGTTCGGTTGGTCGTGACAACTGATCTATCAACAGCGAGATGCTCCCAGCTCCGGAAATTATTTTACTACACCACTGCCAGTGTTCCTGTATCGGCCATGTTGAATAGACATAATCTTCCTGGAGCCATGGCATTATGAATTCCCTCTCGGTATTCGTATACCTATTTCGTGTAGCCATGAGACAAGGGGATCAGGTACAGATCAACAGTCAACCTACTGAGACGAAAAGGATAAAGCAATCTTTTGAAGAGTCGGCTCATCTTCTTCAACTGATGAACCAGGTATTGCAATAAAGCGGTTTTTCGATATTTGTGAACTGAGCCGTAGTATGTAGTGCTTCTTGAAGGACGGATGTTCTTGGCCATTGAGGAATACTAAACAACGACGAACCAAGGCGATAAATAATAGTTCGAGCGGGCAACCTCTGAGATTCAAGGATTCTGGTCCATATAAGGCTTTTTCGATAAATAAATGAGTCTGAGGAATATTCTTGACTAGATCGGCGTAAAATTCTATGATACGAAGGAGGTCTGATCCCATTCCAGTCAGTTGATCTTGTGAAAGAGAACTGAGGAAGATAGCCAGTTTCTTGAGATTCGATCCTACACTGCTTCTGACGAATGATGGATACCGTGGCCTGGGATCACCCCCAATTTCAATCAATCATAAGTAAATAGAGGAAATGACATTACCGGAGATATTCCGTAAGATCAAATATGATCTTTAACAGTCCCATATAGTCTATGGAATCAGTTTCCATGTTGGAAGATTTCCACGTCTCGAGTAACTTCGAAGCTTCCGAAGAAACCTGAGTCCACATAACAAGTGTGTTGATTGGTATTAAGGCTTTTGCTCCCAGCCATTTCAGGCCTTTTCCACTGCAATACCCAGGTCCTGGGACTCCAGAGGACAGACTGGACGCATATCCCCTGCTCGAGGTGGAGACAACGGTGTCTCTGTCTGAAAAGTCTCCCAGTGCAGATGAGCTTGGAGCGAAGCGCAGGGCGTCCGGTGGGTATGTTAGCATTGCCTCGCCTTCGCACTGCGCAATGTTTATTATCCAAGTGTATATCAACGGAAGGAAATTGAACATAACACACTAGAGCATCAACCCATATGGAAAATTCACTGCCGCTGACTTTCCAATGCACCCCAGAGACCCTGTCCTGGAAGCAAAGTATATGTCCCGCTGTATCACAATGTAGACGAGACCATAGTTTGATGCTGAAATACGGATGTATTATTTCCTTGGCCTATAAGAATTAACCAGTGAGTGTTTAAATCAATAAATTTATCGCATTAGGCGCATAAGTAGAAACTCAGGTACCGTTTGTGGGAAGTCTATCTCTGCATCTTCGGGAACAGTTATGAGTCCTGTTTTAGGTAGGATGTTTGTACCCATGAAGCACAGAGATTTCGAGTATACTAGCTCGAGACTAAGTCTTGAGAAAGAGCGGGGAAGGACAGAGACTGAGAACGAAACGCATGGTATATGTAGTCAAGTACGCAGCATCCTATAATCACTAACACATCTTCTTATAATTGAGTATATGGGTTCAATATGAACCACAGTGGGTTTCGATATTATTTTGTACATAGGCAACAAATAGGCCAATTATTTCTTGGACTGATCAGTGATTTGTCCTTCTTCCTTCTTCTCTAGTCACATAAGTAAGTCGACATGGTGAATATCGCCAGACTCGGGAAATGTCCCACGCGCTTGACATTCTCAGCAAGTCTCTAGACAACCTTGGTCGCACCCATCCAAGGCTAACCTGTAATATATATATATATATTTCCTGAATTAAATAATAGTTGTATGCCGATTTATACCTTCGCCTCCGAGTCCTCCTACATATATCTCGGGACAAAACGAACATTATCCCCACCTAAGCCTCCAGATTCCAACGAAGCTACAGGCATTGGAGAAGGTAAATTCATCAAACGAAAAAATCAAGTATATAGTACATATTAATAATTATTTAAGGTAGCCGTTTACGCAGAGAATCTATCTAAAATCTATATCAAAAGTACTTTAAGTATCTCCTTCGAAGAAACAATTTTTTTATACAATCACAGCAACAGGCTCCCCATCATGCTTCTCTTTATCGTTCCTAAGACCGTAATTCTCATTTGTAGTCTGTTGCAGTGGAATTTCCTTCAGCAATAACACTGAAAGTAACCCAAGTCCAGAAATGCCGATTATGACCTTCCAAACTGTGCTCATACTGTCGGCAAATGCCTCACGAACCTGCGTTCTGAGAGGCTCAGGTAGACTCTTAATATGTGGAATAGCGACAAAGGCAATTTGGAGACCGTCTGGGAACCGAGACAGGAAGGCTTCGGGGGAGGTTTTTCTTGAGCTGATTTTGCAGCACTGTGCTGGAGAGCGTTATTCCCCATGCCTATTTGATACAAATTAGAATGAGAAGAATAAGATTTGGGAGGTGCCGACTGACCTTAGCAAATGAACGAATAAAGGAGAAAAATGCCAATGCGGATGCCGAGCGATTGACTGGATGTGGTGCAAGGATTGGAAACACGGTAGAGGTGAACTGGAAAGAGTACATTGTCAGGAAGACTTTATAATTTAAGTTTGAAGCCTAACGTACGAGCATGCCTACACCTGCGCTGACTATGATTTGATAGCCGACCCATTGAGCTGTATCACTAGTGGCGGTGAGTAAACTTAATACGCCTAAGCCAACGATGGTTATTATCCACCCGATAATGTTGACGGGGATGTAGCGTTTAGTCACTTGTACGGTAGCACTATATCATATTTAGTATCGACACTTAAGACCATTATAGTGATTGGACATACCCAACGACGAACGCAAGAGGTGCGATTATCACCGCAGTGGACAGCATTTGAACAGCTGATCTCAAGGGTGAAGATAGAAGGGCCGCTTGAAAATAAACGGGCAGGTAATCTGAAATAATTTACACAGTAAGTCATACACGTCTACTGCGCAATGTTCAGGAGCTCACAAATAATGGCAATACTGGTCATCCCATAGATCATAGTAGCCCAGTATCTGTTTTAAAATTAAATTAATAATCCAGCGGTAAAACTCGAATTTAGATCACTCACCCACTGAAGCTAACTCTATTCGAAATAATTTCCCAAGGAATAGTCGGTTCCTTCGCTACCTTGGCTTCATAATGATAAACGCCACTATGAGGGAAAGTCCAATGATGAGTGGTGCAAGGACTTGAGCAGAATTCCATGGGAATCGGCTGCCACCCCATGTAAGGCCAATAATTGCGAGGGTTGTGCCGCAGATTACTAATAGATTGCCACTAGAAACATTATCGCATGAGATTAGATGGGAGAATTAAATGTTTAAGAAAAATACGTACAACCAGTCCACGCGGGATAATTGGTCAGAGACCGAACCCTCTGGCTTCTTGACCCGTAAGAACATTATTACAAAGACGAAAGACATGCCGGAAGAAAATTCTGCTCCAGACTCGTAATCTGCCCTGTAGCAATTGAAATTTCCGAACTAAGGGGTGCCATATATATGTATATACATGAGCTTTGCTTCATGACCATTATGACCATATTTATCCCAGTCATTAAGGTTAGCACAGTCTGACCCTCGCCCATCTATCCATTTGTGTCGTACTGTCGTACCTTGAAGTGATTTTGGTCGATGTAATCGATAATTCGTTGTGGATCCACATTGAAGTTAGCAAGATTCGACTTCTTCAACGTGGGGAGCAGTTCAAGCACTGGTTTAACATTACTTATACCCATGATGATCCTATATTCAAAAATGGATCACCACGGGAACTCTTGCAAGGACCACCCTCGCCTTCGACGGCTACAGAGGTCAGCCTTTAATAAAAGTTCGAGCATATGGAAGATGTAGCCAAGTGGTTACGGCGATTGATTAGAAACTAATTCCTCTTTGAGGGCGTAAGTTTAAATCCTGCCATTGTCGTATTTTGTTTTTATCCAAGTATTGTCCGAATGATTCCCTATTCCCTCAGAGCGATGACACATCCAATATTCTTATTAATCTCTAAATAGCGGGGTGTGTGATTCCTCTAGAAGGGACAAATCACTTATGAACAAATTGCTTGTCCTGCCTCGTTGAAAGAAATGAGGGAAATAGACAAAAATGATTTTAACCGACAATGGCAGGATCTGAACCTATGCCCTCAAAGAAGAATTAATTTCTAATCAATCGCCGTAATCACTTGGCTACATTGTCTGTGTTCTTAAATGGGTCAGTTACAACCCTGAAACGCCGTACTTATGATCTTTCAATTACATTTTAGCTGGGCCGTTTTAGAGAATATAGGCTGGTTTAAAAGAGCAGGTTACTTGATGCCAGTCCAGTCATCTCTGAATGGCACATAATACGAATATGGTATATGAAATTTGTGATCAATGAATTCTCGACTCATGATTTTGTTGGCGTACCCTTGTAACCTCCCAAGTCTTTCTAAGGCGATTGCAAAAGTCTCAATAGAAGTGACTCCTATTCTATGTTCTGTGTTCAGAACCAGTAGAATCATCTTTGGTAGTTTAAATCCAAGTCGACGTTATGTTGCAAATTCGAGATCTATCATTGGCGATTATATTCATATTCCATACGGCCCAGAAAACCTCGCTGCGATGCAAAGACTCACCTCATGGGAATGACGAATTAGGTCTCTGACTCTGGAAATAATACCCGGATTACGCGCAACTAGGCTATAAATCAAAGTGGTAATAACTTACATACCATCATGCTCGTTATATGTGATGTTCTGGCTCATCAACAATTATGAACAAGATCGTTTATTGATGATTTGTGGAAAAACAGCATCTACACCTGCACCTGCACCTACACCAGTAGAATCATATCAGTAAGAATCATAATTGATGAATGTAGCCCCTGCATTACAAATGCGGTCGCAAACATGAATAATATGCTGCACTTACCACTGGGCGGCGACAAGCTTGTCCATCTTGATAAAGCATTGAACAGGTAGATTCTGGAGTAGATAACTGGGAAAAGATAACAAAGATAAATCCTGAGAGTCGCCGTAGAACATTGGCCAGCTTTGTTTACTGTTGCTTATCAGGACACACTATAGTACACAACGCACGAACTTAATGCGACCTACTTATATGTAGATGTGCCGCCAAGCCTTTTTGGATCTTTCTTTCTACATCTTTTTTCTCCAGTCCCAGGCAATGAAGCGACTAACTCTTCGAGATCTTCAGAATTCAATTCGAATACTTATAACTCATGACCATGAGGCTGGTGATAACGTCACTGAGGAATGGTTGCGGTCACTTATTCAACCATAAAAAATCACAAATTATACTCCATATATGAAAAGGGACATAGATATATGGAAAAAATGTAAGCTACATGTAATTACGATGGTATAATAAATTAAAAATATTAAGAACTAAAAAATGTGAAAACGCCAGCAGGTGATATTAAAGATTGACCAATTAATCCTCCATGTAACCTCAGGCTATTGTCTAGTACTACTTTCCATAGGGGAACACCTGGGTGCAATTGTGCTGGAATGAAACAGCGCCGAAAAGGAATCCCAAGTTCTTGTTAAGAGCATCCCTGAGTGCACCGGTGGGGTTGGGGTATTGTCCGGGAACAACACGGAGGGCAATGTCTCTGTAGATGCCGCAGAAATCGGAGAGGGCAGGCGTCTGTGGCATCTCGATGTAGTTGTTCTTGCCGTGGTTGACACCGGGAACGAAGGGATGGTCGCTGAAAAGTTTACCGGTAAGAGGCTCGATGACCTCGAAGCTGACAGGGGCCGGTTGACGGTGGAAATCCTCCGGCATATGCTGGTTGGCAAAGAAATCCGAAGCAGCCTCTTGGCTAAGTTGACGGTTGTTCAAGCGACCATCGACGAAGTAGACGGTAGGGAAAACAGCTTCGGAGTAGGCGGACAGGATACGGGGAGAGGTGAACACGAGCTGGGGGTTGTTCTCAATCGAGTCTTGCAGCCGTTCGAAACGCAACTCGGAGGCGGCATTAACATCGTAACTGCCGTTAACGCCGAATTTGGTGGCGAACGCGAGAAACTGAAAGACATTGAGGATATTGACCACAAACAAATGATTTATAACTTACGTCCTTGAAGCGCGTTGGGTTAAATGTGGCTGCATCACCGAAGAAAGCGTCGATACGAGACATAGACGTGTCGCCTATGCATGGTATATCAGATAAATGTCAGAAATATTAAACAAACTAGTCATACCCTCGAAAGTACCGTGCTGGCTGAGTCCACCAACAAGAGCGGGCTTCGGTGGATCTGGACCGGTCAAGGGAGTCTTCATTCCGATGCTCATCAGATTAGTGAGAGGGTTTCCGTTTAGCAAGAAAGCTTGATAAGCCAGGAACTTGGCAAAATCATTTCCCAAGTTCAAGCCTGGAAGTAAAGTGTATTGTTAGATAGATTTTGACCAGATAAAGGTGACTCTACCTTCCATGACGGCAGTAACGATCTGGTCGGGCCTGGCAACACCGTCCCTGGGAAGGTACTAATATCATCATAATGACTGATTAAGATGTACTAAAGCGAGAATACAGATATTTACTTACTCCATGGTTAGCAAGGGTGTTCAGAGCCGGGCAAGGACCACGGATATGATTGCCCTGGGGCATGAAAGGGTGTGCGGCATCGTTAACCAACTTGAGACCGTTCTGACCCGCTGGCAACGGTGCAGGAGGGTTAGGAATGGGAGCAACACCATTGCGAGCAATGAATTCGTTAATCTCCCTCTCGCTGAGACCAACAAGGGATTCGTAGGCAGGCATGGCTACAGCCAAACGGATGAGGGCGACGAGGATAATAGTGGAGAACTTCATTGCTGGAACTAGTAGAGTATAGAGTAGAACTAAAGAGGCGAGTAGAGTATGAGGGTCGCTGAAGACGATAGGGATTTAGAGATATTCATTGCACCCTTTATACTTTGTCTCCATAGCTGTACTCCTCTGGAAACTTCGCAAAAATAGAATAAAGGCAATGGATGTTTGAACCCATGTGAAATGGTTGGGTCGACAGAAATCTCTTGAGCTATTTTGAACTGGATTTGTTTTGCTGATGAAATGACCGTGGATAGCTCCTACATCTACCGTTTCGCGCCATCTGACAGCGCCTTAATATCTGCGAACCAACGATTTTGTCCCGTCGCAACGAGCGGCTCTCATACCTTTTTCTGCGGGATGTGAAGCGTAATATTATCAAGGATACCTGGGTATAATAAAGTTTAGAGATCAAAACAATCGGAATGAATACCGGCGGCGGCACGCTCACGCACCGCTACATCGAGGACTCTGTTGATCTGTACTGCATGTGAGATTCTAGCTCATCGGCCCTGATAATTGAACATCGCAATATACTTATGATCTAGATTGTTTACATAGGAGTTAAAGATAAACAATTGATCTGAATCAAAGACCTATGTTTCTGCACAATGGCGAATGACGAACTTTGCACCTCACACCTTCGGTCGGCCAATATCTGCTCCATGATGTACTGCGCCTGACCGGTAAACTCGCCCATCTTCACATTGCAAAACGGAGGAGACCCATAGGCAAAATAGAGTATTTTTGATATTTTCTTTCTCCGGTCTGGAAGCCACCGGTGACCATCAACAACCTCCGGGTATTACGACAGAAGCGCTTACACTGAAAGTTGCCAATGACTCTTTAAGCTTCAAGTTCCGCTCTTCTTCACTCGGGATCCATTTAAGCCTCATACTCCGTGCTCTTGCATTAATTAATGATGCGCTTGAGTAAGTACCGAACAGTCAATTTCCCAGCGTAAAAGCGCCTGCAACTTATGGCTATTAAATGGCGCTGTTAAAACCACTGTAATGGATATTTCAAAACATTTATCTCGCAGTTGTTCACTCACGCTCCGCTGACAACCGACGTAACACTTAATCTCCAATGCCCTCCCTGCAATAACCCGGATTGCAATCCACCCAGTATCTCCGCCTCCGAATACTCCTTATTCTCCGCCGGCTATTTTAAGACTGGACTAGCATCTTGAACAGCAGATATGTTCACGAGGATTTAGCTGGGTGACACGTGAAAAGGGTGTAAGAGGTGGGTTATTTCCTGGAAAGCAGTTCACGTAAGTACTTAGTTTGTTTTGTTAAAGATTAGCATATGGCGGAGACATTCCGCAGACCAAAAATAGGTCTAACTTTGAAGTCTGGAGATGTTATTTACCATCTCTGATTGATCCCCAAGTATCATCTCATTAGATATCCGACGCAATAAAGAGCTCCAAACTCACCTTTAACGCTGTTTCTGTCCAGCTCATCTTGTATTCCTCTCCAAATTCAGTCCAAAACCTCCAGCTCTTCCTGAGCCTTCTAATAACCGTACCCTCCTCTGGGACCTCAATACACTTCAAAACCTCAGTTGTCTTTGTCGTTTTGTCGGCATGAACGCGTGGAGGCCTTTCAAAATTTGTGTGATTAGAGGATAAATATGCACACGCTGAATTATGACTGCAGAGACCTGAGCAGCCCCAGCAGACCTTGGCACAGAACGGCAAGCTGAGCGCGGTATACGAAACCGTGACGCGAAAGAACGTAACATGATTGGCCGCGGAGCTTAAATACTGATACGTGAATTTCGCGTTATCTGGGCTCTCATCTTCAAGTTGCACCTGAATCTCACTGCGATCGCAGAAGCTGTACGACGCCGACGCTCGTCGTCTCAATGTTCTACTCAAACCACAGGCTAAAGCGCTCCCGATTTTCATTATTTTAGCTTCGCAATGTGGTTGGCAGAAAACGTCGAGAGGCAGACCTTGAATGTATGAATGTTTATATTTGCGGGCTGACATGGACAATACCTAAGAATACGTAACGTTGAAGAGATAGTGAGCTTTCTTTCTTCAGACATTTAATGTTATTGGGGCACTAACACATTTATTTAATTTTGGGATCTATCCATGTAACGCCGAGACAGTCCGATACCTACCAGACGCGAGTATTGCTCAGACGTGTATGTTGCTAGTCGATCGTATTAAAGACTGTGTGAGAGTATTCACTTCCATCTCATTCTGTAATATTTATTCTTATGGATATCCCTTTGCGCATCAGGAATCCCTCCTACCAAACGTGACGTGCACCTCTTTTTTTTCCCCTGCCTATTAATACATAGCCTTCTATGCTTGCATCCTAAACAAGCTGCAGTCTAATTTACCTATTAATCGAACTCACATT